GGAGAACATACGATTTTTGGTCTTCTGAGCCTGGCTGACCTCACTCAGAATGATGTTCTCCAGTTCCATCCATTGACTTGCAAATGATAAGATTTCATTTTTCTTCATGGCTGAGTAGAATTCCATTGTGTATAAATACCACTTTTTCTTGATCCATTTATCAGTAGTGGGGCATCTTGGTTGTTTCCATAACTTGGCTATTGTGAATAGCGCTGCAATAAACATGGGTGTGCAGGTGCCTCTGGAGTAACCTGTGTTGCTTTCTTTGGGTATATCCCCAGGAGTGGGATTGCTGGATCATATGGCAGATCTATGTTTACATTTTTAAGAAGTCTTCAAATTTTTTTCCAGAGTGGTTGCACCAGCTTGCATTCCCACCAGCAGTGGATTAGGGTTCCTTTTTTCCCACATCCTCACCAGCACTTGTTGTTGGTGGTGTTTTGGATGATGGTTATTCTAACAGGGGTGAAGTGGAATCTTAGTGTGGTTTTGATTTGCATTTCCTTTATGACCAGAGACGGTGAGCATTTTTTCATGTATTTTTGGCCATTTGAATTTCTTCTTTTGAAAAAGTTCTATTTAGTTCAGTTGCCCATTTCTTAATTGGTTCATTGATTTTAGGAGAGTTTAGTTTCTTAAGTTCCCTCTATATTCTGGTTATCAGTCCCTTGTCTGATGTATATAGCTGGCAAATATTTTCTCCCACTCTGTGGGTGGTCTTTTCAGTTTAGAGACCATTTCTTTTGTTGTGCAAAAACTTTCAGGGTTTAACCCTAAGTGTGTAGAGGATTAGCAAGACTGAATAAAAAATACATACAAAACTTTTTAAAATCTGCATAATTGATGTTCAGGAAAAGCATTTAAATTTGGGAAAAGAAAAGGGAATTGACCAGAAGTACTTAACATTTTTCAAATAACTACTTTGGTTTCACCTAAAGTGTTTTACTTAGTCATTTTATTTAATCACAACAATAATTCTGCAAGGGCAGTATGATTTAACAAGTTTAAAGATGAGGAAACTACTGCTCACATGGCCAAAATCATACAGCTCTTAGATAATTCAAACTCTGGTATATCAAATTCCAATTTGTAGGTGCTTATTTGTCTTGCCTTCTAGGAATTTTCAATTTTTTTGCAGAGCACGAATGTCATATATCAAAGCACAAAGGAGTGATAAAGCAGTAAAATCACATACACAGCTGATAGTAAGTGCTATGGAAATTTGAAGAAAGAGCATATCTATCCATCTGTTTGTGGAATGAAGATATAAAATTTTACTTGCATCTTAGGGATATCATATTTTATTGATAAGGGAGGGTGGATGAGAAATAATATCTGCTTTTATGGTTTTAAAAAGAGCCTTCTTAAAGTATATGGAGGTGTTACAACATGAATTGGGTTCTTCATATAGTATTAAAACTGCAGCTTGAAGTAGAGAAGATTTTGTAAAAGAGAATATAAGAATATATGCTTAGAAAATTAAGTTAAATTGGTTTGCACAACTCTGAACGATAAGAAATTTATGGAAGTAGTATCTTTTGCAAAGCATACTCATGGAATTTGTCTTCCAGAAATGATTTTCAAAAAATGGCCATGAACCATCTGATAACTTCTTAAAAGTATAGATTCTTAAACATCTCACTAGGCCTTTTAAAAATACAAGTCCTTGAAGTGGAGCCTGAGTTGATTCTAAATACAAGAATTTTAAGAATCGTTGTTGTTGAGCACACAAAGTCACTGAAGTTTTGAAAATGGAAGACAGAGCATGAAGGTCTTGAAGCCTTAAAAAAATAGCATTCAACATTTTGAGTGAGAGGTGAGAACAGTTAAATAAAAAGTTAGATTCCAAATTGAGAAAGAGTCTCAGTGGAACTGGAGGAAATGGTCAGGGAATCTAAACTACAAATGAAGGTCCATTGACTAGATACATGTAGTAGGGCAATTGGGTGAGAAAGTGTTATAATGTTTTATTTGCACAGGTGCCCAGAAGTTACCTCAGGCTCTCAGATCCCAGGGTGCATAGCAATAAGACTAATTTTGGATGCCATCCATTTCTTGGTGCTGCCCAGGTCAAATGCTCACAGTCTGAACGGAGCTGAATTAGCACATTTAGGGACCTTTAGTGGGAAGATCTATAGAAAGCTGACAGGTTTAGCACAATTTTTATGCACTGTAGATCTTATAACATCTCTAAGAAAAATAAGAATTCATGAGAACTCTAAATGTATTTGAATTAAATTGTTTCTCTAGGAATAATAATTCAAAATATTTGACTGTCAACTTTGGAACTGCAGTAAATAGACCATATATGACACAAAAAGTCCAAAAGATTGTTTCTCATGAAAATTATAAAAGTCCTGGGGTTCTTCATGGTATTGCCCTGTGGAATTGGCTGACGAAGTGTCTTTCACAAAGTATGTTCGTACAATTTGTCTTCCTGAAGCCAAAATGAAACTCTCAGAAAATGACAGTGTTGTCGTTACAGGATGGGGAACACTTCACATGGGTGGTAAGTTTTTTCATCAAAAGATAATATCTTCATGGGAATAATCATTTACTCAATCTGTTAATCAATCAATCAATCATCAATCAATTAATTAATGCAATTAATTTACCAGTAAATACATTGAAAAGAAAACCAAGTAGTGGGACACAAAACCCCATTCTCAATTTCTAAAATATCTCTGTAAATGGAAATTGGAAAAATTGAAATTATGTGTGAGGCAGCCAATTTTTTAAAAGATGTGAAAGACACTAGCACATCTTGGGATTGCTCTGGCTCTTGGTGACTAAAAGAATCTGCTTTATGCTATAAGTGTTCTTCATTACAACAAAGGCTAAGATTACTATAATGCACAGCATTTAATGCCTTCAGGTCCCCATCCAGTTATACTCCAAGAAGCTTTTTTGAAGATTATTGACAACAAAAACTGCAATGCCCCATATGCATTATCTGACATGGTATCTGATACAATGCTATGTGCTGGATACATGTCAGGAGAAGCCGATGCCTGCCAGGTATGTCTTAGCTGTTTACCCAATCATTTCCTTTCAAAGTACCAATTAAATGGAAGTTGTTGTCAACATAAAATATTTTTATGTTAATGCCTTCTACATAGTACTTTCTTACTTCAAACCACTTAAAAATTTATTAATCTCATTTATGGGTCAGACAGCAGCCAAATGCTAGAGATGAATATATTTCCTACTTTCATGGATGGAACAAAATTCCTATCATCAAGGAATTTTCAGTGTAAGAATCCATACAAGGAATAGTACTTAGAGTGGGGTGTGGATTAAGTAGTAGAGGGCTTATCTACCCCAGTACCACCAGAAAGAAATAAAAAGAAGATGGTCATTACAAAGAATAGTATCTAGAAATGTATAAGATAAACCTAGTTCTATTTTCTGGGAAAACTGCAGATCCAGAATATGCCTCCTCCTTCTCCAGAGAGGCAGCAAGACATTGAGCATGTGCTTATGGCACCATTCCTCAGAGGCTTCATGTAGACTTAAGCTCAGTGCAATGTCCATACTAGTTGAGTCTGTTTCTCCAGAGGAGAAGCCAAGACTGGCCTCTAAAGTCAAATTCTGGTCTTCCCAAACTAACATTTGGTAACTATAGGCAATATATTCTGGTTTGTAGCTGCCCTGAGTTTTGCCTAAACTCAGAATGAACTCAGCCCATAGAAGTTGTGTTGGTTTTAGTAACGAAGGAGTACTGATAACTCCAGAAGAGAGGCAAAAAGAAATTCTATAAGACAAGAAACATTTTTCCCTTCTTCCTCTAGCATGATTCTGGTGGACCACTAGTTTATGCAGACTCCACAAATATCTGGCAACTTGTTGGAGTAGTAAGCTGGGGAGATGGATGTGGTAAAAAGAATAAGCCAGGTGTCTATACACGAGTGACTTCTTACCGTGATTGGATTGCCTCCAAGACTGGACTCTGAAACAAAAGTGTATGAAATGGAACTAAAAGACAATTTCAGGACTTTCTTACCTATTTCTTCCAGGTCATTTTTTTTAGCTGATGGTAAATAAATAATTTCCTTCTGTAACAAAATATCTTTATCAGTATTCATAATATCTAAAACACTCTCTTCATTCATCTATTTAGCTAGTATAGAGGACAGAAAGAAAAGAAAGCAAAGAAGGTCAAAATATTATTTTTATTAAAAACCTAGTTCTGATTTATGTTACAATTATAGTCAGAGTTGACTTTAATATGCTTTTCACAAATAAAAGGAAATACTTATTTGTAATTTTGAGAACATGTATGCAGGATCTACCAAATAAATTATTTTTATTCTATAAATTAGAACTGCATTTTGTTAAACTGGAATGTATAAGACCAATAATGGACATTCAATTTGTATTTATATGTGAGATGATTTGTGCACCTCATTAAATCGTATGTTGGAGTAGAGAAGGTAAAGTACAAGTAGATCAAGACCAAGTCTCTTAATTTATAGATTAACAAACTGAAGACTAGAAGAGAAATTATTTGCTAAAGTTACTATTGTCATCTCTAATAAACAGTTGAAACTATTCTTGTTGAGATTAGATCCAAAAATTTTCAGGAGTTAAAGAATGTTTTTTAAGCTGTAATCACACTTGTAACTTTTCCTTTATGTCTTCATTTTGTCATTAGTTTGTCTTCTTTTGCAGTAAAACTAATGTGAAGTCCTCAAAGGCAGGGAACAATCAAGAATCTGTTTTGGTAGCTCTCCTTAAGGTGAAAGTGCACTTGTATGTAGGACTGACTTTGTAATCTCTCTACATATAACTTACCTTTTGTAATTTCTAAAAATTAAAAAAATATAGCATGGAAATTTAAAGGCAGATAAAATAAACTAAAAATACTTCTTTCAGTTGTTTGTGGCGCTAATTTTTATGCTTTCTTTAGTATAAAATATGACTCAAATGACATGCATAATGATAGCAACCCAATTAATAACCAAGTGTGACAATGTGGTTCTTCACTCTGCTCAAGATGGCCAAACATAATTGTTGAATACTTATATATTCAGGAACCTTCAAATATAGAGACAGTATCTTTCCTTAAGAATATTACTTTTAATGGATACAAATGGACAAATGGGCAGTAAATACTTAAAAATTTTGTATTTTAATAAATGTTACAAAGGAAATAAAAACATATTTAAAATTTCCATTTAAATTTTTAATGGGCAATTTTATTAGTCTTTCAAGATATAATTCTTCATCTTTTCTCAGTTTTTCACATTTCAAAAAATGGATCTACAATCATCCTGGTTAATAGGCATTTTAAATATTGATCTTCATTATTGGATTTTTACATGTATTAGACTTAATTTACAGCTGAACTGGAAAATTTCTATCCTTATCTCTGGGAATACTTGGATGCTTAGCTTTGACTCGTAGTCAAATAGGTTACTATGATTTATGTGAGATTTGAAGTCCCACACTCTTCTAATGACTCCTAGTTGCTTTGTTTACTGACCCATGATCTTGCTGAAGACTTGGACCTTGAGGCCTCCTAAAGGTAAGATTCATCACATCAAATTTTTGTTGTTCAATGTAGAAACAATGCATGTGTGTGTGAGTCTGCACATGTGTCACATGAGGATCACAGGAAACTGTACTTTGTGTCTCTTGATCCCCCAATCCTTAATGTACTCTCTTTAGCCTCACCATATCTTTTACTTTTAAATAAAAGCTTTCTGCGAATTATCTTCTGAATCCTTTCAAGTATCCTTTCAAACATCCAAATTTGTGAAATATTTGCCAGTTTTAATATTTAAAAGTGCAACAGTGGTGCTCTCTTGCACTAATGTAGAAGTGCAAAAATGTTAAAATGTCAGGAATTACTTAAGCCAGCTGTGAAACATGTCCACAGTGCAAAATTGAAGGTACTAACTCATTACAACTTAGTTATATTCTATATTTATTAGTATTTATGGTCTTGAGGTTATTATCTACTACATCCACATTGTGGAGATATTGTATAATAAAGCACAACTGCTCATCTCTGGACAAATCTCTGTGTAGTGTTGTCATGTGGGCAGCTTGAAACTGGCCATGTGTATTTATACCATGATAATTGGCAAATGCTCCAAATTAACTCCTATTCACTAGGTCCAAGACTTGGTTGTTAAACACTTGCAAGTGTACCAATAAATGTAAGCTTATTATGCTTTTAAAAGAAATTTTAACCAAATGATGCAATTGGAGCACAGTTTCTATTTCATGTCATTACAAACCATCTTATGACCATTTTGCCAAATGTGTTGTTAAATGCTCTAAGTACTTCTACCTACTAGTGACTATGGTGAGTAAATATATTTTTTACTGGCTTTCAGTTTTTCTAATTTCATTGCAAGAGGAAATTTCAAAAGAATCTACTTTTGAAAAAATTTATATTTATGTATCAATGATATCTCATACATACAGTTTATAGTGATTAAAATATTACAGAAAGATCATGTTATAATGTTATTGTTCTGCCTAATGATTATTGTTAATTATTTTAAATGATATTTATCACATTTTCTTATGTTATTGATTTAAAATTATATACCATTTAAAATTTATCACAATAAGTGCTCACAGTTGAAATAAGCAAAACTTTATTTTTACCAAGCATATTATATAAAAATTCCCTTAAATAATATCTCAGGTTTTTAAAAGACTAGCTTTATTCTTTGTAAATTATCTATCACAACTATCAAAAGCAATATTCAAATAAGACAGAAATCACTAGACAGAATAATGAGAGACTATCTTCATATTATCCTTCCCAGACATTTGATGAAATAGATGATTAAAAGGAATTAAACCAAGCCATGATCAGATCAAGAAACAGAAAGATCAATGGGGCATTCTAAGAAAAACCAGCTTGCTTCTAAAGAAAATTCAGCATGCCACCTAAATTATTAGATATCTGACTTATCCCTAACATTCCACAATAATGTTGTTCACACTTCTTCCCAGTAATCAGAGAGAATTACTCTTGGAACACTTCTCTCTCTTGTTCAGAATCTTGCTCTACCTCTGCCCACCCCATCTCAGTATCCTTAGAGAAGAAAACCTAAATGCTTTATTATGACTTTAGAATCAATAAAAAGCTTGACTCTCTCTTCCTACTCATTATTAAAACACAGCTCAGATGTCACCTCCACCAGGAAGCACTTTTTGACATTTCTAGGCAGGTACTCCAGATTTCCCAGGGTGTACACCTGGTACTGTACTTCCCACAGATGCAAAAATCATTAGTTTATGCATCTGAATCACCACCTAGAATACTTGTTACTGCATTTCCCACAGATGCAAAAATCATCAGTTTATGCATGTGCATTTTTGTTATTTCTTAGTGATACTGGGGCTTAAACTCAGGGCCTCATGCTTGCTAGGCTTTTCTAGGCAGGTGCTCTATCACTTGAGCCATTCCACCAGTCAAGTTTATGTATCTGAATTGCCACTTATAACATGGATTTCTGAAAGACTTTTTCATCTCCGTATTCCTGGATTTGTGGCTGGTTCAATGTAGGGGACGGGGGAGTGGGGGTAATCCTTGTATCTTAATGAATAAAATGGAAAGGTAATATCAAGATCTGTCTGCTACACATCTGCTTTATTTCCTATTATGCCTTTGCATGTTACCTGTATTCCAACCACACTATTACTTAATATTTCTGAAACACGCTATTCTGGATTTGTCTGGGATGCTCTTCTATGAGTTTTCTTTTCTGTTAAACTACTGCCATGCTTTAAAAGTTAGCTCACACTTTGCAAGATTTTTATCTACTGTGTTCTTGTCATTTTTGTGCCTATTGTCATTCATCTACCATCTTACCCTAGAAAGTTCTATACAACTAAGAAGCAAGGTTCATTTTTAGTTAATATTGATTTAACATTAACTCTCCAACTATTTGTATTTTATTATCAATTCTACCTTTTCCCTGTTTTGATTCACAGAGAGGACATATTTATTTTTGTTTTGACTCAACAACTATATTTAGAATTTTAAAAATCATATAAGGAGTATATGAATATGTTATCCTTGTGAAGAAAATGAACCTAAAAAGTTTTTTTAATCATAATTTTCACTTCTGGTCTATTTCCTTCGCCTCCAGAGTAATCCTTGTTTATCTTTTCATAAGCAAACATATGAATTTAAATAGTATTTAGCACTTATTATAAAAATGCATTATTTCTTTTTAAAACAAGTTTTAATGGCACCATGTCATATTACCAGTCCACATCTCATATTTTAGTCAATTTTTCTTAAAGTTTTTCTTTATGTGCAGATTCAAAGCAGGAAAGATACCTGAAAAATTTTTTCAAAACTTGTTGGAGGGGTTGGAGATGTAAGTCTAGGCTGAGCCTCAAGGATGATTCACAGAGCTCTAGAGAAGTGATACTCATGGGAAGCTACTGAAACTGACATTGTGGGACTCAACAAATAAGTCAAGTGTCAATGGTGTTATCACTACAGCTTCCTGACACCAACAAGCTGTTTGGCCTCTGCCGACTGTAAAATTGCTTCTTGGCTTTGGGAAGCTGGAGTAGACACTGTGGCAGGACCTTTTGCTAGCAAACCCAAAAAGAAGTCTCACTTCTGCCTTGGAAGGTCTTTGACTAGGTGAGTTTCATCTAACCAGCAGAACTTAATTTGCAATTAGAACCCTAACTATAAGGACTCTGTTCTTAGCTTCCCAATCTCTGCTACACAAAAAGGGACCTCAGAATGGAGGATGGGAGAGAGTTAACCCATAATATCTCATTCCTTTTAACAACTGTATAGCATTTTATATATTGATATACCATAATTTATTTAACCATTCCTGTATTAAATACTAGTTGTTTCTAAAGTTTTGCTACTATGAATTTTGTAATAAATGTTATCAAATATTCCTTACATATTATTGTACAAAGGGGTTTTATTGTGATATTTCCATACATGAATATG